AAATGCAAATTTTTATTACAAGGAAAGTGTTATCTTAATTTGTGCCCGAACAAATGACATTTGAAAGTGCACGGAGCTGTGTTAATACACTTAATATTTTATTTTATAAAAGTGGAACTACAAAATTTTATTCTATTCTTTTCATGTGTTTGCCTCCAACAAAATAACTTTTGCGAAAATTATTCTACACAGAGGTACTTAATTTGAAGTTGATATTAACAAGATGATGGAAGTCCCCTTTATGCATGTATATCCATATCTTCCAAATAACTGTTTCATTATATTATTAACTATTGTTAGCGAATATAAACCAGAATTTGGTCGTACTTATGGTGTTTTATTAGAATTGTATGGCCTCTGTTTCTAGAGATGTTTTATACTGTCTTCACTTATTTGTGTTGTGTACAGATATCTGTGCGATTGAGCAATGCTCGTTGTAATCACATTTTGTTTTATAATGCTTCTCTATAAGTTGAACTGTTTACTGTTATTAGGCAGAATTTGAGACCGAATTATTCAAAAACTTTCATATGAGATTAAGAAAAATACATATGTGCCCTTCATCTCGACATTCTGATATTTCACACCATTTAATCAATTCGTAATTTCTTCCGTTCATATGCCAACTCGTTACATTCCAGTGAATTCAAAAAGACAACAAAACAGTCTGCCTCGTACAGTTTATATTTTCATGTTTATCTACTAAAGACGATGAGGGATAGCTAAACACTAATTTGTATTTATGTACAATTGCCAATGCCAATTTATTTTGACATAATAACCAATTTATGGAACTTCTCGTTCTACGAGATCACTTTCATGAGCGTCAACTTTCCCGTTTAAATAAAGTTATATCATCTTTACGAATTTTACCGTTTTTTATTCAAGAGCATACTTAAATACAATGGACTTTAAAAAGTCAGGCAGTCTACAGACATCTAAGTTGATGTTAAAGGGATTTTATCAACCTTGTAAAAAGTCAATATATCGTTAATTATATAGTCGTTATGATAATACTCTTATCAAAAAATCATAATTAAGGCTGTGTTTTTGCTGACGCGTTTCATTTCAATTTTAAGGCCATTGTAACAGTTATTCGCATAAGATAAATATTCAAACTTGAACTCTGCTGACATTTGATGTCAATTGCATAATAATACAGTGTCTTAAATTTGTAACGAAAGATAAGCATTGGTCTTAAAATCAAATGTTAGGAAATATGATGACGAGTAAGTATTGATAAATTACAGAAATCAGTTTCGTTTTCTGGCCTGATTATTTAGGTGAATTTATTAACCAAAGAATTCGTAACTAAAAAAGATGAGTTTTCAGTTTAGGACAGTTAAGATAGAATTGATTATAAGTTAAATTATTCAACATTTAGGATCGTTTCATGTAAGGGTCATAAACCCTCTGCTCATGCATATAAAATGTTGCTTAAACCTAAATAATTTTCCAAAAGAAATGTATTTAATATGTAAAATATAAACAATTATAGCGTAGCTTGCGGGGCAAAATTGGACAAAAAAAGATACATAAACTTAGCAAATCTATAAATGAATAATAGACATTTATGTCATTTAGAGTTATCTCTCTTATCAGGGTATCAATGAACCTTAAGTTGAAAGCTGCATACAGATTCCATTTTTGATATTAAAAAACATATATGTTTCTTAAACAATTTACGGGTCTAAAAAAATCAATTTTTTAAAAGATGTAATCAAATTTTTAAGAAATCACAAAATGATTTTAAACAAAAAAAAAATCTTTGGCAATGCTGAATGAATTAAATCCTTTTATGCTTTAATAAAATTCAACTAGAATGGGAAGAGCAAGACTTACAGATTGTCTTTGCAACCAGCTTAGTGAATTCCAACAAACGGTGATTTTTCAAGAGGGCCAACCACTATTTTAACACTTGCTTTGAGAATTACTAGTTTAAAGGACCTAGTGACAATAGTCAAAGCTTCAACACCCTAGGCAGGTTGTCTTTATAATTCAGTATTCATTTGATAGCATTAAAATAGAATTTGAGTTTATGGTCAACATTCTAAGATACAATTCTCAAATAGTTTTGAAAATTAATCGAATCAAAATAACAACAGAAGGAAAAAAAAGGCATGTAAATTGTGGTGTCCCTAAGTTCTGTAATTATCTTTTATTTTTACGAATGCATACAAGCTATTCGTAAAATCAAATACTGTGTTCAATAACACACCCTTGTACACTGATATACAATCACTGGTATTATAAAGTTCAATGTATTCATACGCAGTTTGTTTGTAATTTATAAAGACTAGTTAGGCCAAAAAAAATATGTGTGTTTCCGGTAACATGTCCCTCAAAATTAGGGTAGGTAGGTAGGCAATTACTTTTTTTTACTTTTACTTTTTATTTTAACTGAGCATTATATTTGACTGTTTTTAGGTAAACTGTATATAATATTAAATATTAACAAGTAATATTTTGTTTTCTAGAAGTAGATAGCAGAACCAATTGCAAGAAATTGATTTACAGAAAAAGACATTTGAATTTTAATCACAATTTAGTAATGAAATTTGTCACATTTAACAAAAAAGGTAAAATAAAGAATTCAAGATTGTTTTTCAGGCCTACTTCTACCTCGACCTCATTATCATTAAATGTAAAGACATAGTTAATATCCATTTCTTTCACGGACAATAATGTCAGAGTTAAACCGCCGACGTTGAATGTAATGCCAATCGACATTATATCCTTAAAACTACGAACGTCGATCCTTTGTTAGCTTCAAAATTATGACTATCTCCATATAAATTTCCCACAGTTCAGTACCAAGGAAAGTTATATATTGCAGTAATTTCGTATAAGTCCGGACATTTCTTGGGCTTAAACCCAATGACAACATATGGTGGACTTGGAGTTGAGTGATGCACATATAAAATAAGTGATGCAATACATCTGGGGCCACAATTTGACACACTAGCAATATCCATGGAGTGTTTGCCTAGTGGCTGCCCCTTACAGCGTTTTAAATGAATTGGAGTGCATTTTAAAACTGAACTAATCATGCTAATAGGGGTCAAAATATTTCTTTTATGCTATGTATTATAAATCATTGTATTCGTAATAAATTAAATTTTTCTCATCTATTTACAGAATTTTTATTGTAATTTTCTATAAATGAATAATTCAGGTGAAGACAGGTGCATGTAAATCGCAAAATAAATATTTTAAACAAATATGCCAAAATTGTCTTTAAAAACTATGAAATTTATGTGTGATGATATAATTAATGGTTCAATTATTATTTATTATCCATTTTATAAGTTTGATTCCTCAGAAAGCAATAATTGTAGTGATACTACAATGTCAATCTCGCCAACAAATTTTCAAACTTGCGTGATAAAACTTGATTTCTAAACGTTTTTGAATATTTTAATGATCAAATTCTATTAAAATAATTATTTTCTACACCTTTACATTTATAAATATGTGTAAAATGGAAGGTGTCTTCTGAATTTCTGAGAAACAGGTAACGAAATCGGCACTGCGCGGTCCCGAACTTCACAAAGTTTTCGTATCTTATATTGAAGTATATTACACGTATAGATCATTATAATTTTCAAACCTTTCAAGAAATATGTAGTTGATAGCTTGAATTTCATGTAATGCTTTACTGGATGGGAAAATATTGCGTATTGACTGAGTTATATGCTCAAAAAACATCGTAAGTAACAGTCCACCATTTTAAATTTTGGTGGGACTTTCCGAGATTCTATGCTTTTTTTACACAAGTAAATCGTGATTTCCAACTGTAGTATGATGCAATCATCTATTGATAACCTGCAGGTGGCCACCTGTGCTCTGATAATTTGTAAACAAGCGGTAATTTCAAGTCAAATCAACAATGAAAATATACACATGTGTCAACATGTGGTCAAAGGTCTCATTAAAGGTTGGAGGCTAGGCGTCTAAAGTCGTCATTAAAGGGTAAGGGAGGGAACGATCTAAGGGGAAAAGAGCTATTATCTACGCATGTATAATCTTAAAATGCTTGAAAAGACGTTTTTGTATAATTTATCTGTTACAAGTGCCTTTTTAACTGCGCGCGTTTTGAAGACTGTAGTTTTAGAACAAATTACGGTACGTAATCCGGATTTGCAATAAAAAGTGCTAGGGTCAGCGCATAAAGTTAGGGTCGGTCGGGTTACCGGAAACACAGGTTTTTTTTTTTGGCCTTATTTAATGTTTCATACCGTTTTTTATAGCCGATATTAATTCTAGTAATATTAAGAATCTTTTCTTAGATGCTAACGTTTACCTTGTTATAATTAATTTTATTCAATATTTCAAGTACTTGCCACTTGCACGTTTTTCATCCTTTATGGTAAGTTTTTTATATATAAAAATGTTCTTTGATAGAAGTCTCTGCATTTGAAATCTTAAAACATGATGAGAAATGGCATATGTTTTGACCAATATTCTATTTTAATCAACAGGTTTTATTCATGCGGGGCCAACTTGCATGCATTGTAACGGAGCCGGAGACATTGAAAATTGTTTTTTAAATACTGTCAGATGCGGGGACCTTGAGGTGAATAGATTTTCTTCTCTACAAAAAAAATTTAAGTTGGTGATAGCTATTGAAGGTGTACAACTAAGCTAAAATCTGTACTTGTTTTATTATGACTAAAATAAAAATTTGTTTGTTTGCAGTTACCTAATGACCCACTTAAAATGCACCCAACCCTAACCTTATTTTTTTTAGGCATTCTTTATTTTATTATTTTTCTTTCAATTTTCCAGGATATAGAAACTGTTATATATTTAATAATTTCTGATTTTTGTTTTTATCAATCAGTGGTTTACAACAAGAGTGGAGCTTATTCATGTTTAGTAGGCATATGAAAAGTTCTATAATTTGTTATTTAACAAAAATCTAAAAACTAATTAAAAAAAAGAAAGAATGCCAACCTACCTACCCGCTCTAAAAGTTATAGGTCGGCTATTACAAACAAAGAATTTTTAAAATTTGGCCTTGGTTATGATTTTTTAATTTGCTACGAAAAATTTCGCTGCATCAATAAAAAGCTATTGAAAATAAAATTTCATAGCGTAGAAACTTGCTTTGAAACATATTCCAGAAAAATGTGGGAGTTTTCGTAATCAGAAAAGTCTAATATAAAAACCTTAAATTTAGCAATTTGCTTTTTTAATATTGTTGCCTATTACTAAATTACCTGTGTTAAAAATTTAGCATTATATTTCCTCTTTTATATTTATGGAGAATTATTCAATATTTTGCACATTATAAAACTTTTTATTTTTAATTTTATTTCGCCGAAATTATTTGTTCAAACATTAAATAAAGAGTGATTAGAAAATACATTGAAACTTAAAAATAATCTGCTTGGAACTATTCATTTTAACCTGCGTTGGAGCGAATTGGAAAAGAAAAAAATAATAAAAAGCAAATCTGCATTATGTTTTTTAATTGTTGAATTTTAAAACCTGTCAGCATCCTTTTGGTTTTATGTGTACATGTATTTGTCTGATTGAATGTAGTCAGAGGACTTTGACGCACTGACGTGCATGTGCAATTTGATTGGAGAATATTAATTTTTCATCATTAGATTATTTATTGGAAGTATGTTTGAATTTCAGACAGGATAATGTAATTTTAACAGCATATATGTCGTTGATTTAGGACTGTTATTTAGACAAATATGTGGATGAAAACTCGGCGATCAGATACGATGCAGGGTGTCGTTCGAAACAGGTTTGTACATATTTATTATATTACATATGTAAATGATTGATGGTTCTAAGTTGTTTTACGATTTTTTGAAAGTTTCTAATTCATAAAGATGTGTCATATAAGTAAATGAATAAAATACAAATCAACAGCCCTCTTATGATTCAAATGAGTTATTGCCTGGATATTTTCAAGTGATAAGTGGATATCTGTTATAAATGTTTTTTTCTGTCATAGACATCGGAACCGGGGGGGGGGAAGCTAGGGGGATTAGCCCCAACCCAACTTTTTTTGCAAAGTCATTGAATATTGGAGCGTAGGTTTAACACCCCCCTCCCCTCACTTTCAACAGTCTCGTTGCAATTTAGCCCAAAAAGGGTGTACATGTAAAAAAAAAATTGAAACTGATAAAAGTTAGGGCTGAAACGATTCACCGAAATATCGATATTGTTCGATATAAGTGCTCGGTTCAATTTTCGATTCACCATCTCGATTTTCGGTTCGATACGTTTTTTTTATAATCGGGTTTGGTTAACTCTTTGAAATAGATCGGGTTCGACCTTATTTTAACAGTTTGACACACACGAGGGAGAAAATTGGGACGGTAAAGTTTCAGAGTAGGCTGCCTCTGCTATTATTTATACGAATAAAGTGTTCTTAATCAACAGAACCACAAGTATCAGAGATGTGCAATTAACAAATTAGTAAATTCGGGCTAGTAAAAATTATAACTACGCATGTAATATACATAAAGTACAACCGGTATTTTACTCATTTTTTGCTATCAGATTCCCAACCAGTGAATATTTTCCAGGCAGCATGCTCCTACTGTCAATAAATCTCCATAATTTTCTCCATTTTGCAGTACTTCCTGACTTATTTACTTCCAAAAACGATCGTTTTTTTCCTAATCCGAATTTCCTCCGTTTATTGTAAATACATGCAGGTATCTCATTAAAATTATTTACGATCACTAATCAACTGAAAGATCAGTGTGATTCACATGAAATATATTTCTAGTGTATTTAAGGATTTAATATGAAAACAAAATGAATTTATTTTCATTCTAAATGAGCTAGTGCAAAATAATCAGAAAAGGAAAGATCTTCAGATATTTTTTTTTTTATTCATTTTTATTTCCTGTCAATTTTATACGATTTAATTTTAATAGTGAGAATAAAATTTTAATTTTCAAAAGATTGACCTTAGTACCCTGACTTTTTCAATGATTAATTTTTTTTTCAACATTTGTTTTATTTTAATTTTTGTCCCTATATTTGGGCTAATAACTATTTACTTGGGGCTAGTAACTTTATTGCTGCCACTAGCCTGTGGGCTAGTACTTGAATTTTTAGATTGCATACCCCTGGTAGTACATTTCTATTGTATCACCACCTTTTACTCTTTGTTTTTTTTAATCTGAATACGTTTTCTTTAACCTTATGAATAGATTCGTTCTTAAATTGTATCGTATTGAAAAAATTGAATTGTGACACAAGTATTGCAATACGTATCGTATCGTGGAGGGGGCGTATCGTTTCAGCCCTAATAAAAGTTCTATTCTACTCCTCCCCGTCCTTCAACCCCGAAATAGGATTTTCGCGTTTAGACAACGGACACATTTTATTATTATTCTTTTTTATTTCTTTTTTCTTTTGCTTGTCAAGTGTTTTTTGTATAGGTTTGGAATTATTTTCTCTTTTACTTTGCCCACCCACCCCACCCCCTCTTCTCCCTGGGACGTGAATAGATTAAGTCAACGAATCATTCCGTAGTTAACTTTAACTGTGCACAAAAATAAAGCAATCACTGTTAAACTGTGTACAGAATTAAACCATTCAGTGAATGAAACATGAAGCCAAAATTCAAATTAACGTGAATTATACTATTTGAGATTCACGAACAAGTTCACATATTTCATTTTCTTCCCATATTTTTCGTACCCAAAGAAAACTCACTCTTTTTTTTAGCTAACCTGAGCTGAAAGCTCAAGTGAGTTTTTTAAATCAAAGGATGTATTCGCTTTGACAAAAGAATTGACCTATAGGAGAGAACAATTTTCCGGAAAAAGTGACATTGAATAATTAATCTTTATTTGTTGTTTTCTACGGTATATATGTCTAAATTTTTCAAATTTGTATTTTTTACCTAAAAATTATTATTTATAACTTTACAATAAACCTCCAAAGTTGGCCTAAACACCATTTTGTCCGATAAAGCGTTGATTTTTGCATGAATTTTGGCCAAGAAGTCCTTCAGGGCAGGCCTACCCATAAATAAAATTGTGATATTTTGATAGGTTTGGATGTAAGGATTAATTTAAGATAGGATTTTTTTTAGGGGCACCCCTGCCCTAAGGTCGAAATTTACAAAAAAACCAACAAAAAATAAGGAAACCTGATTTTGATAATCTGCTTCAAATTTATACCTGTAAATATTATAGCCAGATTAAGCTCAGTTGATATATACGCAGACTATTACAGCGTGCACACTAACATTTTAAAGTCGGGGGTTCGAATCCACCTGGTACCACACTTTTTAAATTTTTAAATTTTCGCCTTTTCAAAGACTATTTTAATATTTTTTTATAGCCTTGTGTATTTTCCTTCAATTATATATCCTTTATGCATGCCCATTCTTGATATAAGAAACACTAAAGAGATATCAAATCGTAAAAATCCAATGTACAGTTGTCAGTCAGGCGGAACAAACCTCAGTATAAGCACACTTTCTCCGAGGACAAGAATAACTCACTCTGTGTTACTTAATACAGGTTTGAGCTGCGATGAATATCAATTGTATATATTCCTTAGGATATAATAACATTGATTTTGGCTACATACATATCAGTAACTGTACTCCTCGGATTTGATTTAGGCCTATATAATTTGCACATATGAATGGAATGTTTTACTACATTCACGGATAAAATTACCTAAACATAAAGAATAGAATTTCAGAGGCAGTAAACATTACCATTATGCTTATTGAGAAGTTATGACAAATATCAATTATTACATTTTGAGATAACAAACTCAGGAAATCAATGAAAGGGTTCCTCATACCTCTACTCACTGAAAAAAAGATTTAGGAAAAACAAATTGTTATATGTAACTATTCAGCCTAATGCCATTAATCAGAACGGAAATCGACAAGGTTTTTGTAGAGAAAAAAACCAAGCCCGGTCCTATAGGTCAAATCCCTATTTATAATGAACTGATCCTTTGTCCGTCGTCTGTCTGTCTAGCTGTCTGTCTTTCCATACGTCTGTAAGTTTTTCATATTTTCGACTTCTTCTCGAGACCCACTGGGCCTATGCAGCACAGTTGATGTTACAGCGCAGCATTGTTAAGGCTTGAAAAAGGGAGGCGAGGACTAATTTATACGGGAAAAGTTTACTGTGACGTCAAACAAAAATATGACTTTTATGTATTTCTCATAATACCTAAAAATGAAATAATTTGTAACTTTTAACTGTATTAGCATTTAAACAACAATAAAACTTATCAATGCATTAAAAAAAATTTCTAATTACATCCCATGTAGCTGGTTAAAAACAAAGCACTGATCGCGTTGAACTTAAAATTGTAAACATGACGTCCTTTTGGTAAAAATGACGTATTTCATGTCCTGTGAGAGGCAGCTACACATTTGGGAAATTTTTAACAATGAAAAATGCGTTGTCTTATTAAACGAAATATTATGTACAGGTTTTAAATAGTCGGTTTATACCAATGTTTATCCTTTGTTTAGTGTGATTATTTATTAACTATCACAAGAATGTATTGTATTAATCATGTCATGTTTTTATGTGCAGGTTACATATATCTTACATCGAGATGCTTCATAAAATCGTACTGTCGCAAGGGCATACACTGAATAGATCTTAACAATTTTTTGAATATATATAAAGGATATTTTTTTTAACTTTAAAAGTGCTGCTGCTTTCTTTAAATCAAGGGCGTGATTTCATAAGTAAACAAAGTATTTGGTAAAAGTCAAACATATTTCGACATTGGCTTATTTACCTGAAAATTTATCTATTAAAACACAATTCTATTCAAATCAGCAGCACTTTATTCTATACAGACAATATTGTTACCTGCTTTATCAGCAGGGACCACGTACTGGTCATGTAATCTATCTTATTCTTTTTTCACTTCTGGATTATTGATCACAAAAGGATAGATGGCTTTCATATTGCCCCTCAATTGTTTAATACGCGACTTTAACATAGATCTGATACATTTATAATAATCCATTCTGACAAGGTGTCAACGTCTTCTTTTTCATATCTGGCACATCGTCTGGCGTAATTTTCAACGAATTTATAATATTTATGAAATTCCGACGCCAGTCGAAGGATCTGGATTCCCTATACATGTATTTAGGACCTTTTAAAATAAATAATCGAAGGTCCTCATTATGTTCCCCAAACGGAGTTTGGGAACATATTGTTTTTACTCTTATTATGTTCCCCAAACGGAGTTTGGGAACATATTGTTTTTACTCGGTTTCTTATTATTATTATTATTAGGGCTTTTCGACTTTTGTCGAAAAGACCTATTGTTTTCGTTTTGTTTATTATTATTATTATTATACTGAACACTTCTATCGTTCAGCATTTAGGGAGTACCTTTAAGAATAGGTATTTTATTGTGTAACCAATAAATAGCAAATTAAAATTTCTCGTGCGTGAAACAAGAACAACTTCCGGAATAGTCATTTCCGGTTTCTACTAAAGGAAAACTGAAAATTCTTAAGGAGCCGAAAACATTTTTAATTTTAGTGTCTTGACTCCCAAATTTGAGATATGAATTCTAGAGACATAATCCAATTAAAAAGTGCGCGTACGTTATTTTTGAACACAAATACTTTTCGAGATATAAGACTTCAAACATTGAAGAAGGGGGGATGAAATTTTTGAAAGTCACAATTGCGTCTCCAAAATTATTTTGAGCATAGAAATATGTTAGAACTAATTAGTAGAACATATACTGAAAGTTTCATGTCAATCCGAAAAGAACTTCC